TTATAATTATTTACTTACATTGATGCTATCTTTTAGATTTGGTTTAGTCTTGGGTCTCAAAAGTCCTTTTGGTCGTTTCCTAGTTTCAAACACAACTCTCTTGAAAACCATAATTTGCATTTTAGCTTTAGCCTCACGGAACGTTCCAACAGACATGGGCGTTGTCTCTGAGGTGCTGATTTTCTCAATATCCTCTAGTTCGTTAACTTTGCTTACAGCTCTCTTGGCAAATGCCTCTGCTTGCGTTAGCGCTTTGAGATCATAGTAACAGTGGCATACAGCTGAGTACAGGGTACAGCGCCATGAAAGATACTTCACTGTCATTAGGGGTACAGACGATTCCATGCACATGCAGGCCCACAATAGGAACTCCAGTACCTGAAAGAAATAAATGGTGTACATGTTTATATTTTAAAAGAAAGCACTGAATTTTTCATTACTTAGGGATCGATGATTAAATTCCTCATACATTTCTTTGTTATTTTTCGCGTCACGCTCTGATGACCCCGGAAATTACAAAGAAATGTATGGAGAACTGAAAATGACTTTACTCGCATCCTAGATCAACTAAATTCTTGAAAACTCGCCAGTTAACTCCATTTCGTAGTATCTAACGCTTGAAATTAATGATTCTTTGAGAATAGGAATTCAACTGGAATTATTTGACATCGATTTCACACTATATCCTTGATATTTTGCGAGATTTTACCTACCCAAACAAAATGGCGATGAAAACCATCACCTCAACTATTAAAATACGTCTGACAATATGTATATGAAAAAATGTAGTGCACCTAGAGTTAACATTATGAAACTCACCTCTTTACTATGACCCAATGCCATCAAATGCCGACAAATTGTGTAAATATGGACAGTTCCTGGAAAAGCCACAATACCAGATCAATATTCATGATACTTCAAGCAATGTGATCCCAAACTTGGTATCAAGAAATGCACATCATTGAGATATCTATGTTTACAGGCACCTCAGTGAGAGTGCAAACAGGAAAAGCAAACACAAAAATTTGCACTTGCGTTGTGAAATCAAATGCAAGTACAGTAAAGAAGAGCAATGGCAAGAAAAATGTGAAAATTTTCTTAGACTGCTATTGCTCTTGAGCTTGCAATGCGTTGCATTGGCAATTTTCACTATCATATAAGGCCTTATGAATTAGACCTTGCTTCTGCAATATTGCTGATGCACCCCTAGTATATAGACTCTTCCGCAGTCCCCTGCTCGACTTTTGGTCTTCTCGCATTGGGTCCCATTGCAAGAACCAAAAGCCGAGCAGTGGACTGCGGAAGAGTCTACCCTAGTATACAATTATTGAGAATCATGGTTTTTGCAGCTTTCAGACATCTCTGCGACACTCCCCTCACTAATTGACATGCCAGCTTTTTTATCAATCATTCTACAGAATGACAATTGTTAAAAGCTGCACCAGCTATCTAGACTTCACTAATAAAATAACCCACCATTGAACACAAGCCAACAGTATGTTTCTTTGTGAAGTGCTGTCTGTGTTATCAGTCTTAGAATCTTCAGATATGTTATTGATTGTACAACTGTTTTGGGGTTCTGAAATGGACATTATAGTTATCAATAAAACTCGAAAAATAAAACATAAAAATTGAAAGCACTGTAAGAGATAAACCGTGTTTGTCAGTAAAATGTATAATATTATAGAGATTACCTTGAGTTTGATATCTTCAGCAATTTTCACATGAAATGAACAAATTGCCTCGCCAAGAAGTGCTCTCAACTAAAACAGAAAAAAAGTCTTACTGGTAATCTAATGACACAAACCAAAATGAGCTCACAAAAGAGAGCACTTGCAAAAGACTCAATTTTGTAGCAGTATTTCCTTATTACTATACACCAACAAACTTGGTCTCTGCAGCTGGAAACTCATTATGTTTCTAAGCTTATGCCTAGCCCACAGTGCTCAAAATTAGTGCAGAGCAAAACAAACAATAAGTGAACTACAAGAGGAAACATGCATGATTCTTTGTGACTCTGAGTTTCGTGCTTATGCACATGCTAGACAGAAATTTAATTTGTCAGACGTAATTTAAGCATGAAACTCAGAGCCAAAGAGAATGATGTGTATTTCCTTGTAGTAGCTAATTATGCATGCTATGAATATTATTAAAATGGTGGGAACTAGTGGTAAACTAGTGTGAGCTGCGTCGGTGTTTACTAAAGAAACAGTTGTGTAAAAAGATAAATTTAACACCGTAAAAAAAGTATGTGAAATAACGTCAGTAAGTTATTTCAAATACTTTTTTTAACGGCGAGTGTTAAATTTATCTTTTTACACAACTGTATGAATATAATTAACTTGTAAATCAATTTTTTGGAGTGAAGTCAAAAAACCTGAGAAATAGACAGATATTGCACTTAGTCTAATACACCTTTAGTACACTCTAATTGCATTTTTTTTCTTTTATGTCTATTTGATAGATCACACTTTTAAAATTATAACAGAAACTGTTGCATCTCAACTTCAATGTTCAGAGGAAATCATTGGGATTTAGGTTTTTCTGCCACTTGGTGGCAGAGCTTGATACAAATAAGCCAATGAATGAACAAGTTCATGGAAAGCTCCGCCCCTGAGATCGAAGGAAAGAACAAAATCCAAACAAACTTCAAAACATATTAAGAAGTTGTAATTGCAATGACTTCTGCAGTCAGTAATAGTCAATTTTTGTTTGAAAGGTTTAATGACTTCACTCTTTATTATTAATAAAAGTTTTACTAACCACAATAGAAGTATATCTATCKGCTAACCCATTGGAGAAATAAACAGCTTTAAATTTTTCAAGATTACTATCAGCACTTGTCTCAAGTGTTGTGTTWATTGGTCTCACTGATCGAAGATATCTTCCAAAGCACTGATATTGGGCAACCTTATATTCCTATAACATAATCACTGTTAATGTAGGTCCATRTTTACTTTGTTTTAAGCAGCAAGTCAAAAATGTGCCACATGAACTAAAAGTACCCCTCACTACGGGCCTTAGGAGGAAATTGCACCCCTTCCCAATTGTTTTGCCTGCATTACATCCTCTTATCTTCAATATATGAAAATTTCCAGTATTCAACACACACTACCAATTGTTTTACCAAAGAAAAATGTTGCATTGCTCAATGAACTACTGTATACGTACCTTGATGCTGAGAAGGAAATCTCCGGTTGATATAACTTTCTGAATAAAATAAGTTTGCTGAAGTCTTGATTCATAGCCATTCCATAAGTTGAACAATGTGTTTGACCTKCAGATAATTAGTAAGTCATACTATTTAGGTTTATTGTGTCATTAGGTAGCATAATTCTTAAAAAATATACAAATAGATAGGCTAATTTGACAGATTACCCTCTGGCAAACGCTTCCTCCTCCGTCTTCTTCCATTTTGCACCAAGCTCTGCTTTTCTTGTCACATATTTTACAAAKCGTGATAATTCTTGTTCAAAAGCAAGCTGAACTGGATTTGGACGACCTATTGATATAAATTGGAAGAAGTCTTATTATGATCAAGTAAAGTAAGGAGTTTGTGACTGTTTCTGAAGGTGTTGTTGGAAGTCGACATGATTTGGTGGAGTACTGCTGTAAGAACTTAAAGGTTAATATTACTTCAGCTTACTAAAGAAAGGTAGCACAAGGTAAATAATATTAAGACGAAGTGATAAAAACAGAGATCAGACAAAATTGTAACGAAGTCGTACATTTGATAACATTAACCTTATTTAACAAAAATCTCACCTGTTTGAGCCCCATATTTGCTTGATCTCTCCAAGTTTGTATTTTCATTCATAACTAATGATTTTTTCTAGCTTTTCGCATTAAAGGGATGTATGGTTGCCGTAGAAAAACATAACTTTT